GGATTTTTTCCTTGTTATTCTTCTCTGTATGACTGAATTAAGTTGGAAAAGGGTGAGGGTAAGCACATGCCCACAGAAGTTTTTTTTATCACTGTTTTATCACATGGCGCTGACACACAAAAAGTCCCTGCAGCCTACGATAGTTCAAAATTTGGCCGACTGTACATTCAGCGAACGAGGAAGTCCTGGAAACTACCCTTCCTCACCAGCTCAAAAATGCGCTAGTTTTCAGAAATATTTTTATATGGGGGGTTTAACGTCCCAAAACCACCATATGATTATGAGAGACGCCGTAGTGGAGGGTTCCGGAAATTTTGACCATCTGGGGTTCTTTAACGTGCACCCAAATCTGAGCACACGGGCCTACAACATTTCCGCCTCCATAGGAAATGCAGCCACCGCAGCCGGGATTCAATCCCGCGACCTGCGGGTCAGCAGCCGAGCACCTTAGCCACTAGACCACCGCGGCGCGGCAGTTTTCAGAAAGTTTCCGTCATCCTCCATGTCATTCATCGGCTGGCGTCGTCTGCTGTTTGAACTCCTGTAACGCCAAGTATTTATTGGCAGCGTGCCTCCTCTTGTGAGCCGCTTGTCGACTCCCCTAGCTTCCTCGACCGTTTTATACAAACAAATTTCCGAGGACGTGTTTCCAACTTAGTCCAAGGGCCCTTCCTGCAGTGAACTTGCGTAACCTGTTCTGCGCTCGGTGCGCTGATATGGATGGAGTTGCTCCAGTTTTGTTTGTTGTTCGCGGCCCGCAGACTTCAGGGCCACTCCGAGGGTCGTCGCAAAAGAACCACGAACCGTACCTCTACGCGTCGCAGGCTTGCAAAGTGGCGCGTGCATTGCTACTATATTGAAGATGGACAAGGGCCAGTGATCGATTAGGGAGGCAATAATCAGCCGCTCGTGTGTAGCATCTCTATCCCTCTTCTCTTTTAAGTGTCAGTACACTTTATAAGCGACCCCAAACCATCCCCCGCCGTCGGCGGCGTCCGCAGCCTTCTCTCTATCTTTAAAGGAAAGAGGACTTGGCGGGCCGCAGCGCGACGCTCTACCGAATAAGCCACGGACGCGACGCTGATATCGGTGTCAGTAACGCGCCTTATACCCCCTCCCCCTTCGCTCGCTCCTCCGCTCTCCTCGCTCGCTGCAGCTGCGCGCGCACCCCTCTCTCTCGCGCGCCCGCCTTCTCTCTGAGTCTCCCGTCAAGAGCGAGTCGTGAGGGGGAGTAAAGTTAAAATCCGTTGGCATTCGCCAGTGAGTTAACGTAAACTCCACCGTGTGATCAAATTACGATTCCCAGGAACCATTACACCATAAAGGCACCATAGTGTGAATAATAAATATAATAGTGCGAAATAATAAATACCCCTCATAGCATCACCCCGTGTATTCGCACTTAACCATGTTCACCCTCGGGGAAATGCTTGGGAGTTTTTTCTTTTAATCCCGAGCTCCATAACACCGGAGTAGAGTAGTGAACTGGAATGGCATCTGGTTTATCTTTCTGCATTGCCTCCCTATCCTCCCACTTAAGTCACACACAACTATGGCCAGCCCTTTCCAAGGCTGTCTTATTGAATCTACAAGTATAGCGTCTATACTCTTTTACAACCTGCACAGTACCAAAAAATTGGGCAGAGTCCACCCCACGTGGAAAGCGGTTTCACGTGAAGCGGTCGGCGAGTAATCGCTTGTGCTAGATTATTCGGCTTCGAGCCAAGCGTTACTACGTGGATCGACGTGTGTTAGCAAGAGTAATAGTCATGCGCACATCGTGGGCTTACCAGGAATACCGACTGCATTGGTGTTTCCAGAATTACTTATAGTATGACGTATGAGGTCAGCAACTTCTATTTACTCAACTTCAGCATTACTATCTGCCTTCATTACATCGACTAACGTTTGTAGTGACGCCGACCCACACATGCTTTAACAAGCTAGTGTTCATAGTGCCAGCTAAATAATTAATGATCAAAATGGTCAGTTATACAGAACAGAAGAAAGTCTTATAATATTCCTCCGTAATTATCCTCTGTAACTAAATTGGGCTCCTGCCACTAAACTCTGAAATTTCCTTAAGGGCGGCTTTTAATTTCCCGAATATTTGAATATGAAAGTTCAAAACTCCAAGAGATTGCACAAATCTTGCACACAGCTCATAAAATATGCATTGAAAAGAACGGAATGACTATGTGCGTAATTTCCCGCAAACGCCATAAAAATTCCCAAAAGTTCTAAGTTTGCTTGTACGGCACATGCAAGATGTGCCGTACAGGTACCACCCCTACTTTGTCACACTCGTAGAAACGTTTAGCTAACCCGGGGCATACTGCAATCAAAGTGCGCGCTTCGTGTAAAGTTTGAACGAACGTGAAAGTTATCGCTCAGTAAACTAGCCAGTAACAATTACTATGGAGTAATGTACTACCCAAGACTGTAGGAAGATGAACATTATAGAGAAAAAAATGAGCTAAGACCAGCAGGGGGGCGCTAAACAAACTTTCAGCAATAAAATAAGCATACTTAACACAAGCGTCGCTAGAAAACTTCGCTGGTTTATTGTAATGTCGTTTTTTTTTCAATATACCTCTGTACACTTCATCACTCTTTTGCCTATTGACTTGTTTGCCTCTCTGCTCCATTGAAAAATATATGGCATCGCCATTTCTATCTGTCTACATTTCATCACGCGATAAGAAATTGTAGAATAAAAAATAAAAAAATATATATTTCTTGCAACAACGAAGTGATACCGTGGGCAGTAAGGTTTCATTAGCGGAGAACAAAAATGTCTGAAGCAAATACACAAAAACGCCATGGAAAAAAAAAACTTTAAAAAGCGCGTGGAAGAATGACAAAAGCAAGCAGTCAGCGTTTACTGAGGTAGCAGCAAGAAGTAAATATTAGAATATGTAAAAATAAAAGTTAATACAACCTACCATTCGCTAAAGATTAAAAAACCGCGAATCAACGTCTGTGAAACAGCAACCAAGTTGTAAAATACATAGTACAAAATAAAGAAAACAAACAAACTGATGTCGACTGAAGCCAGGCACGTTCAACGAGAGAAGTCCCTTCGTTGTCTGCAAGCAAACATTTAACGCTCGCTCCTGCTTGTCGGTATTTCGGGCGATAGAGTTTCAGTAAATCTCGTCTCTTCCGTGTTCCCTCAGACTCGTACATTTTAATTTGATCGACCGCGATGCGGAACCACGTCGCTCTTGGGTCGAATTTCAACGAAATTGAAAGCTTTATATAAGGATGTGGTGCATTACACAAAAAAAGAAAATACCAAAACTTCTCTTATGACTCAAGAACAGAATGACTGCAGAGTAAACGCTGAATTTTCTTTTGGACAAGAAACTTGGTTGTCGTTGTGGTCTTTTTTTACTTTTATTCGCATAGGAGTATTTTTTTTTTGCGTTTACGTCACTTGGCGTCATACCCGTGTTCCGCAAATATGAAGAGTGAAGGAACATCTTTCAGTGGTGGCAGAGCCATTACTTCGTATTTTACTGCGAAGTTTTGGGGATGTGTGCGATAATTATTTATATGCCGACACGTCCATGCTCTTCATTCGTTCTTGAGTTTTCTTTTTCTTTCTTTCTTTCTTTCTTTCTCTCTCTCTTTTTTTCTTTTTATCTATTTTTTTCTTCCTTTCATTTCTTTTTTCCTTTCGTTCCCTGCTTTTTCTTTGCATCCTGTTCCTTTTTTTCCTTCTTTCTTTCTTTGCTGGTTGTTTGGTTGGTTGGTATGTGTCAACGCATGCGCGATTGTACAGAAATGTTGTAGCCGCCGTCAGATCGACTCACATTACTCGACTACCAACTAGGCAAACACTCTATGATAGTCGATAAACGCTCAACTCCACGTTGCTGACCAGCTTATGAGGTTGGAATTTGTGCTAAGAAGCTGACTAAGGGCGCAACAAGTAGTATTTCCCAACAGTTATCTCTTTCTTTCTTTCTTATTTCCTTTTCTCTAAGGAACTGAAGGCATTCTGGGAAGGCGGACGCCCGCGATTTATAAACTTCAAAGAAAGAAAGTCCTTGTCCGGTTCCAGTTTTTAATCTGAGCTTTGTGAACGTCCTTTGCAAGAGAACAGAAAGACAAAACAGTAGAGAAGGAAGTAGTACTTGGCGAATGCATTTCCTAGTATCACTCATCATCATCATCATCATCATTATCATCAGCAGCAGCCTGACTACGTCCACTGCAGGACAAAGGCCTTCTCCCATGTTCCGCTCATATTGTATCACTCATACTTATTGATTAATTTATTCATTTAACAGGTGTTCGACCTTTCACCGGCAACATTTTACTTCCAACGAGCGATAACTGGAAGAACGGTGCGAGGAAAAGTCCTCGGGATGTACAACTTCTTTCGTCCCTGTATTGAGACTTTTTAATGCGCTGACTGTGTTCGACTTTGTTCAGGTATTATTTCTGCGCCTTCAATTTTAGCAAAGACTCGCCACGACTTGAGTGCCTGCTACACTGCCTAGTCATTGTTATTCGCTTTTCTAGAGTATTACGACCTCTTACGTGAACAATATTCACTATAAATGACAATAATAGTAAATGTGTTATGGTTCTCTATTCGAAACTTACGATATACTTACCTGCATACTTACTCACAATGTACACTTCTGATGCTAATAAAGAAACATTGATTGATTGATTGATTGATTGATTGATTGATTGATTGATTGATTGATTGATTGATTGATTGATTGATTAATATGCCTATGAATTAAGGACACCATGACGGTAGGCTTTGACAAGTTCAACCCCCTGGGGTTGAACGGGACCCTGGCGTTTCACCTTCATCAGAAGTTGCCCGCCGTGGCCGGGTTTTGATCCCACAACCATCAGTTAAGCGCTATACAGAAAGGACAATGCGATACGTCAATTGCAGCGTTCATTAGACGCTCTCACTGTTTCGATTTGACGTACGTCTAAGCAGCCTTGTTGTCTTTCTTTCCTTTCCGCAGCCTCCGTTGTGCAAGAGTATCCTATCCCTGAAGATGTACGCCGCCATGGCATCAATCAACTGGATGTTCGTGGAAGGCCTGCTGCTCCACTCCCGCATCACGATCTGCATCTTCCGCCAGGACGCGCCCTTCAAGCTGTACCACGCGATCGGTTGGGGTGAGCCGCACTCTCTAATGACTCGCGTTGATGAATCCTTCTCCCATTGACCCACGTTTCGAGGTTGTTCATCTATTAATCGATTAACAATTACGGCTCGCAGTTATTTATCATTTTTTACACAAATTTGAAAGATGCCAAGATATGACGCAGGAGCAAACGTAAATTAGGATGTCACTGCACCTACGCGTGTGCGCTGTCTGAGTCAGTACGGAAACGAGTCCTTGTACAAGGCAAATGTTGTACATCAGCAGTTTTCTAAGAAAGAATAGTAATATTGTCAGATATTTTCGTCCCAGCACCGCGATATGGTAAATAAATAGAGCGCCGTAATATGGGGGGCTCCGGAAATTTCGACAATCCAACCTTCTATGACGCGCGCTGACGTCGCACAGTTCACGGGCCTTCTACCACTTGGCTTCCATCAAAGTGTGACCGCCGTGATCGGTATCGAACCCGTGGACGGCAGCCGTGCTGCGTAACCGCTACACCCTCGCCATGGACGCAATTTAAGAGACGTGTCGTCTCGACAGGGTTTTTCGGCACTGTTGCACAAAAACGCGAGCATCCTTTCAAAGGTGGTAGAGGAAGCTTTGACATGATGTCATCTCCTATTCAGCTTCATATTTTTTTAAAGACGATGGTTTTTCTTGGTGACCTTCGATGCAAAACTTTTGGTCTGTCTGTCTGTCTGTCTGTCTGTCTGTCTGTCTGTCTGTCTGTCTGTCTGTCTGTCTGTCTGTCTGTCTGTCTGTCTGTCTGTCTGTACATTTGTCTGTCCACTCTTACCAGCATCGGGTATTTGAAACGGCCGACCCCGTACGCAGCACCCACTAATGTTGCTCATGGTTCAGCGTTCATACTTGTGCAATTGTCAATCAAAAAACGATTATCGCGCATGCCTGGGGCACCATAACAACACGTATATATTCTGAATGTGCGTCTTTTACTAGAAAAGGCATGCATAAGTAATTTTAAGGACCGTAGCGCTTATCGCGCTGCGCTGACCATGCAACTCTTGCACGATTAGACAAGTGTTTCCAATGCTTTGCTAAAACGCGACGGTGGTGGCACCTACCCATCGCCTTGCGTTCTACACTTTATCACCTCTGAGACGGGCGCGCACACTCGTCTCAGAGCCACGCGCTTTGTTTTTCAAGAAAACTGCCAGATGGCGCTTATGTCTCACGTGTGACGTGTTCTGATGCGTTCGTCCACCTCCGCTGCACGCTCGCGGATCTCTAACGCAGCGCCTCCAGAATACCATTCACCTATTTTCTTGCGCAGAACATCAAATAAATGTTTTGTTCACTCTCTTCACATGCAAGACTATCGTCTTTTGACGACATTTGCAGATAAATATGCAGATATGGGGTCATTTTTTTTTTCTTTCCATCGTCCTAACTCTGACATATGCGCAGTATATAGCATGAAACTATACAGGCGAGAATAGATGATGCTTTCGCCCTTTCACGTTTCTAATCACTGTTCTTTCTTACATCTAATAACAACCAGTGTGTTATTTTATAATGAATATTTTGTTAATTTTGGCATCTAATACATGTCTTAAATGATCAGCTACTCCAATTTGTTTATCTGTAATTAGTAAGGGTGTCCTCAGGTGTCTTAGTGTTGACAATATGCTTCGATCATAAACTTTGTAGGAGACATTGTAAATTATTATTCTGTAAACTATTCAACATAAGGGCCAGTAGTATACCTCTTCTTACTGAGTGTGTAAGAGGCAAATAAAAGTAAGTTTTCAAAAAAAAAAACAGTTTGGTGCTCTATAACAGCGACTGTGAGACAAACTTATATGTACTTTAACTGGTATAGTGCACCACGGTAACGATAAAACAGCTGTGCGGGCCAAATGAAAGGACGGAGCCCTACTCGTCCAATCATAAAACCGAAATCGTGTCTGATTAACCTGTTTGGCTATTCCTTCTCTCCTGCTCCTCCACAGTGTGAAATTGATGCGAACACACTGCGAGTCATCTGCACGCTGTTACGTTTAACTTGCGTATGGCGAAAAACATCGACATGGTTTCGTCAATTTTGAAAATTCAACTTTGGTATGAAGCTGTACACGGTATCTATTAACTGCTAAGCGCTCACTTCTGAATTTTACATTCGTTACCTTGAAGCTCCACATATTGAGCCTAGCTCTGTGCAACACATGCATGTTTCCTGGCCGCTCACAGCAAACATTCCATTGTTTTCTTCACCACAGCTCCCAGGAGAGAATGGTGTGATAGAAGAGAGAGTTGGGTGAGCTGTAGAAGAGCTCTGTGATAAGTATGCTGCTAGGACCTCATTAGCAAAACACTAGGAACCTTGAGTCACGGATTCTCATTCGAAAGTCCCTCACATCAGAGTCACGTCGATTCTCTCGCCGACGTGAGCCTGTTGTCACGCGGCTACGTACGCTTTATTTGCTGTTTTTTCTGGTTTCCCTCTCACATGATCAGAACAAAGCCTTTTTTAATTAGCGAGGGGATCACCTTCATCTCCACAGAGCTCGCTCTGTGCGCGTATTCAGAGCGTCTCACATGTTTACATTTTGTGCGGACCAGGTGTCATCGACAGCAGCGGCTGTGCTGAAGTAGTAACTGTTATAAAGGCCATTTTAAGCTTCGAAAGCTTATAGTTGGCTTTTATGCCGCACACATATATACATGCTTCTACAGCACAAATATTGTTCGCACTGTAAACTGTGTGCGCTTATAATGGCGTATACATCTGCACCACCAAACAACTCCTCGTAGAAATTTTCTGTCGGTGTTAATGGGCCTGATAACGCCTACTCGGTGTACTCGTGTCCCATGGTTCACTTGCAAGGTTTCGTATAAATGGGCCACCTTTGCAGAGATCTCCATGCTTCCTGTACTTCGCTCTTCGGTCGGAACAGCGCCTCTTAATATTGCAGTAGTTGAGGAGTGTCTCGCACAGTGAACAGTTGGTTTTTATAATCTTGCAAGTTCAAACACCGCTCCGCTTTAAAAGTCATGACTCGACACTAGCCGTCGCCACTTTCTTGTAACGTTGATAGTTAACAGCGAAGTAGGGCTACAGTAAGCAGCATCCACAATCTCCTGAGGGTGGAAAGGCAGGCCAGGGTGCTACGGAAAGCTTGTCATTGAGCGCCGCTCAAACTACAAGGGATACGAATCGCGGCTCAGAAAAGTAACGTTTCGTGACTTTAAAGTAGAAGTTGACTTTTGTATAATTCATTCGAAAAGTTATTTAGTACGAGCGTGTCACTTTTAGCAAGTAAATTGTAATATTTGTTTTAAACCGCGCATTTTATCTAGACTCACATTCAACGTCCGCTAGGAACTCGTGCGGATACGGCGGATAATGCCAACGGAATGCTGCAGAAGCACGGCCGTATGATCTGCATGGTGAACTAAGCATTTCGACATTCTAGGTACTAGGACAGCGTGCTCCTCTCCCATTGTAGAGCACTTAAATGCCCACGTTCGACACTGAGCCATTTCTTTCAGTTACGAACACATGAAAAGTGGACGGCCTAATGCTCGAGTTCACTTAGTACCCTCAGCCGGTCACTTTTCGAAGCACAGAATTGGCTGTTACATTGAACAAATGCTCACCCCCGCCGAGCTGGCCGACAAACTTTGGACCGTCCAGCAAGCTGAAACTGCTACTCGCGTCCAAGGTGTTCGAGCCGTCACTTCAGGGACCTTCATCATCATCATCGTCGACGGAGGGTGAAATTGAGCAGGGGTTATTCTCCTCTACCTACACTCTCTCCGGAGGGAAACTGCCGGACTAATCCTAAACATGTTCATTCATTCATTCATTCATTCATTCATTCATTCATTCATTCATTCATTCATTCATTCTTTTTCTTTCTTTCTTTTATTCATTCATTCAATGAATGAATGAACGAACGAAAAAACATGTTTCCCGGATAAACCAAACTAGAGGCACAGAGTGGCTTCAGCTGTGCCGATAATGCGTCGTGATATCTTTCCACTCTAACATTCTTTGTTTTTTTTAGTTCTTCTTCTTTGAGTCAAACCTGGGACCCGCAATAGTACAAAGCTGCTTCCATGCCCCCATCAACTTCCAGCGTTCTACAAACCACGCAGTCACAAAACAAAACATAACGCACCCACTGCACGCGAGTGAGTCGAGCGTAAAGGAATGCACGTGTACTTCCAAATCCCTCGCGCCATATTCGAAGCCGTTGTGAGCGGCATTTAAGGATCACTAACGTCCATCACCGGCCAGATCGCGTAGCACTGCTGAACCGTGCCGTTTAGAATGTGACGGTGCGCCTCAGTTTGCATGTGCCATCTCTATCGTGCTCTTCAGTCGGATGAGTTCCTCTGGCAATTATGCAAAACACCGGGGGCACTATACGCCCACCTCTCAATTCAAAGAAGGCGCGTCGACGGTTCCACTCTACCAGCGGATATCGATCGCCAAACTTTCCGTCTCTGGTTCTGCACTTTGTTGTCCACGTGTACATCTGTGCTTGTGCGAGTGCATCGCAGGGCTTATACCACAGGGTTGCTGTGGTCGAGCGCTAACTGTGAAAGCGTAGGCGGAGGGAGGATGGGCACGCTAGAATTTCATCGCAGCCGTGGGCTAACTCGTCTACTCTAGCAGATAACAGATTCCCTCCGACTTGTACGAGTTCCTAACTATCATGATGAATCGCGAAACTAAAACTCGAAATTGCCATCCAAAACGCATTGCTTCTCGAACCTCTTGGTGGTTCGTTTTCAAACAAGGACATTGGCGCAATCTTTAACCCTTTGGTTACTCGCCGCAAGCTACGCAGCTGCCCTCTCGTGACAGGCTGGTTTTCGCAAGTTGGCGTCACGTACAACAGAAGGTGAGCGTGCTACGGCTGAATTTGCATCAAAGAAAAATTATACGATCCATTGAAGAGGGTTAAAAATTGCTGTCACACTCGTACGCACGGTGATTGCGGGGCAAATTCCACGAGCCGATTTGCTGTTGAAGAGCCGTTATTTTTATCTTTATTTTGTTGCTTTTTTTATTATGAGAGAGACAGGAAGGCTCGCTAAATTTAGAGTTCCAAGGCGCCCAAATTCAGGGTGTCGTCATTTAAGCGTACGGGCTCTGGCGCGTCAACGTACCTCCACTCTTCGGTACTCGTAACCTGAAATCTAAGCACGCGAAACGATACTTAACACTTCGCCGAGTTTATTACAGTTGGACATGCAAACATCTGGCTGTAGGGTGCCGTTTTATTAGGGGGAAAGCCTGTATTTAGGGAGTAATTTTTTTCCTCGCAATGCAGTCAGACATGCTTTCATATGCAAAGTTTAAATGTCTCTCATTTGTCATGTCCTGTTAGGGCAGCGTTGTCAGAGCATATACATATTGAGCTCTGAAGGCTCAGTGCTATTTCTTTGGCGTATTTTCTTCTCTCTATCTCTTTCTTTTCTGTTATTCTCTCTTTCACCCACCCCAAGCGTAGTGTAGCCAACGGAAGCCGGTTGGCTAAACTCATTCCCTCTTTCTTATAAGTAGGTTCCAATGACCTTTGCACTGAAAATCCTAGTCAGTGCAAAGCCACTTCGGGTGCAGAGAGCTTTAGTGAGGGGAGACCACGTGGCTTTTAGTGCCAGGCTCGACATTTGGCAAAATATAATAACTGCGAAGGTGTTCTAGCTCGGAGTAAAATGCTGTGACCAATGAGCATTATCATGATCCGACGCGTGCTCACTTCAATCTCTTCTTCCACTGTTTCGCTCTCTGAATAGTTTCACCGATTTGCCCGGCGTATAGCAAATGGGAAGTACAAAACAAAAGAGAAATACGAGGGTGAGAAGGAGACAAACGAGAGAGAGAGAGGGGGGGGAAACAAAGGCATAAAGAGAAACTCTTGGCGAAAAAAACTCCTCGTGAGCCGGCGGGATTCGAACCCGCCTACCGACAATTCAAAAGCGAGCGTGTGCATGCTGCCCCTGTGTTTCACGCGTTCCCTTCAATTCTTTCCTTGTTGTGCACTTAAGATTTATCCACCGAAGGGAAGAGTGTTAATCACTTGGCTATCCAGACACGCGAACCAGAACATAGCGTAGCATTCAATCACTACGTAACGATGTCACTTTATATATTCTTGGGGTTCTAGAAGCAGCTGTGAACGCTGACGATAAGGGCGCATGCGCTGTTTGGGCAGACATCGTCAAACGGCCCGCTCTCTTCGCGTTGAGGCTAGAGGCAGAGCGAAACCTGCTTCACCCACCGGAGCGGCTGCCTTCAATCATACCGGCATTTTGTAGAGTTACACTAAATTCGATCCAAGATGGTTAGTCACCAGCGTTACTTTGTATATTATTACAATTTCTTTCTATTGCATTCACTGTTGTGCCCTTGTGAAAAACTGGGATATTTTTAATTGTTGTTACGACGTGAATGGACCGCAAAATCGAGCAACAGTGTGGAATGAAACATAAGCGTCCGCATGGAGAGGAGAATGGGGGGGGGGGTAGCAGTACTGCCCTATAATTTTTCTTAGTTGCATCTTTCACGTCATATTTCAATCAAGATTATGGCTGCGCCGGGTTTTGACTATATTGAAGGCCAAAGGCCTCTGAAGACTCCTTCAAACATCTGCTGACTTCCTCAATTTCCCCAGGAAATCCGCGAACCAATAGCGGTTCATTGCGAAAAGCACGTCATCCCTTCATTTTTACTTCAGCAGCTATTACGGTCTTCTTGAGGGAAGTAGGGCGCTGCGGATAAACTCACCCTCTTCCCCTACGGGAAGAAACCTTCGCGTGCCTTCTGGACAGAACATATATGAATAATGGCGGTCGGATAAGCACAGTGGGGTATCAAATTATTCTCTTATTTTTAGGAATTCAATACCCGTGCAAGAAGTTCGAGAGGTAGACCGTTCTTAGTACTGTGAGGGCAAGAACACTGAGAAAGAAACTTAGTCTTCAGAACTAAGCGCAAGCCTATATATAGAGTGAAATACGCACAAGTCTACGATATATTCACTAAATATCCATGAAGCATCAGCTGTCTGTGATATTAAATTTTAATCATACTATAACAGCTTTACGGATGCCTGAGCCCGATGTTGTGTGTTTCATTGTTTCTTTCGTAGATTTTTCTAAACACAGTAATCAGGCACCACTGAAAATTGAATAAGTTGGTATTAGACTATTTCGCACCCCAAATGCAAGCAAGCATTTGATTTATTTGAGGGGTTTAACGTCCCAAAACCGCGATATGATTATGAGAGACACCGTATAGTGGAGGGCTCCGGAAATTTCGACCACCTGGGGTTCTTTAACGTGCACCCAAATCTGAGCACATGGGCCTACAACATTTCCGCCTCCATCGGAAATGCAGCCGCCGCAGCCGGGATTCGACCCCGCGACTTGCGGGTCAGCAGCCGAGTACCTTAGCCACTAGACCACCGTGGCGGGGCTGCAAACAAACATTTGAAATAAACCTGGGACTAAAGGGACTGACGAGGACTGGAAACAACACGAGCGCTGAGTTGTGCGCAGTGCTCGTGTTTGTGCTTATAGCGTTCCCCAGCCTTCGTTACTCGTCGTTTTATTTCCAATGTTTGCTTAAATTTTTGTGTGCTTCACCTATTTCTGTACTCAGTGACCTTCTGCTGTTATCATTCATTCTTATCGGAACAATGAACCGTAATTAAGTATGCTAACACCGTGAATCATATTCTCTTTCTAGGTCTGCCTTTAGGGTTCATAGTAACTTGGGCCTGCCTCATGGAACAAGAACTTGGGTCGGCATGTTGGGAAGGCTACGGCGCCAACCGTTACGTCTGGCTCCTCATCGGACCTCGTCTTGTGGCGATTCTGGTACATCACAAATATTCAGTACACGAGTACACAAATACCTGAAATGCGTCTAAAACGATGCACATGCTTTATTTGTACGTGTTGTGTGTTGCAGGTGAACTTTGTTTTCCTCGTCAACATCATCCGCATTTTGGTGACGCGGGTGAAGTCAGCAGTGTCTGCGGAAACAACCCAGTTTCGGTAAGCAAGCTTTAATTTGTTGTCTCTTTGTATTTATTTTGCCATGCATGCTCAAGTTTGAGCATACTATGAAAAACGTGTTTTCATGGTTTATTAGCAAGGACACCGCAGATGTTTAAAAAATAAAATGGCAAAATAGGCGAATTGGTAGCTGTTTGTATATATGCGTTATGTATATTTGCGTGTGTGTGTGACTGTGTTTACGTAATTAGGTAAAAGTACAGGAGTATATATGTATTTATATTATTATGTAATATGTTTGCATGTAATATTGCCGCACTGCCAAATACCTAGGGCTGTAGGCTAGTCAAGCTGTCCGGAGACGGCTTTTTTTTCTTCTTTACAATCCCCCATCTGTGGCACAGGCAGAAACTTGCTTCGGGGGGCGCATTTCCTTGATCTTAATTGAAGGTACGTACTGGTTTAGTGTCATTTTGTGTTCTGTTTACCATGGCAGAAACAATAAATATTATTATTATTATTATTATTATTATTATTATTATTGTTATTGTTGTTGTTGTTGTTGTTGTTGTTGTTGTTGTTGTTGTTGTTGTTGTTGTTGTTGTTGTTGTTGTTGTTGTTGTTGTTGTTGTTGTTGTTGTTGTTGTTGTTGTTGTTGTAACGCAAAGCACAAATATACAAATACGCAGCAATACAGTGTAAGCGCTTCACTGCTTCCTTGCTCCGTCCTTGTGCGCTCGCCCTTTCCGTCAAAGATTAAGAAATTATTCTACAGTTCTACCTGATGGAATGCTGACCGGGCCCGCCATACTAAGACAATGTCACTACGCATTTCGCTACAGTACGTGGGTGACCATTCGCCTTTTCCAAGAAAGTCGTTACGCCAAACAAGAGCAAAATAAATAAGTGAGAACTTCAAGAACGCAAGGCAATTTCCGCGTCAAGCCCATGAAGTCAAGTTTCTTGTTTGCTTCCTCGGCGAAGCAAGCTTTCAAAGCAAACTTCCCTCCGGGTTTGACTATTGCAGCGGGGAGAGCGTATGTACACTTGGAATTTCATTATCTTAATTGTATTAACTGTTTGGCTAAGTTGTGAGCTCCAGCCCTCTTACTGTCGACACGTTAGCCATGAAATGATCAATATTAAAGTGCAGTTGGATGTAAATGAGGGCAGAGAAAAAACAACACAGGCAAGTTTGTGTAGAAAGTTTATTCGGCCGCAAAAAAAAAAGCTGAAACAAGTAGCCAGAAAAATTATGTGTAATATACGTGACACACGTAAAGATCGTCCAAGTTTTGCGCCTATTTAGCATGTAGTGAGGTGCACAATGAAGTGGAATGCTGGGAAAGTTGGTAAAACATAATGTGGAAATATATGAGCGCACAAGGTAGCAGATCGTATTTCCTGTCAAGTCCTTTTCCTGCCACCTTGTGCGCTCATATATTTCCACAGTGAGGTGGACATTTTCGCACTCCTACATGCTGACACCATCGAAATCCATACGCCAAGCCCTGGAATCGAATCTCCAACTAAGTGCTCCAATACCAAACAGCAGTACATTTGTGCTATTGCGAACATATATATATATATATATATATATATATATATATATATATATATATATATATATGGGAAAGAAGTGTATATCTAAGGGCTCGTTTTTCCGTGTTTTGACACAATATTAATGAGATCTAACAGACAGTAATGTCAAGAAATGTACAGGGGAAGTTATTAGAACCAATGAAATGTAAATAAGAAGAAAGAAAAGTGGGCGAATAAATAACCAACCGTGAGCAGGAATCGAACCTACAACCTTCGAATAATGCGTTCGATGCTCTAACCACAGAGCTATCACAGCGGCCTTCCCTCCATCCACTTTTTTGGGGGTTTATATGTGAATTTAGAAGTAGGAGTGTTAGTCAGCGCCATCTATAACCCAAGCGACGAGTGTGAAGCAGTCTTTTATGCGCATGTGTGGCGTCACGTAGCACGTGAACTTATTACGAGAGGGCAGCTGATTAATAGTCCCTCGTATACAACCCAATGACACTAAGTCTGCCAGTACGAGACCCTCGTTAATGAATAAGGGAAAGAATTGTATACCTAAGGGCTCGTTTTTTCATGTTTTGACACAATAATAATGAGATCTAACAGACAGTAATGCCAAGGAATGTACAGGGGAAGTTGTTGGAACCAATGGATTGTAAATAAGAAGAAATAAAAGTGGATGAAAAAATAACCAGCCGTGATCAGGAATCGAGCCTACGACCTTCGAATAACGCGTTCGATGCTCTAACCACTGAGCTACCACAGCGGCCTTCCCTCCATCCACTTTTTTGGGTTTATATGTGAATTTGGAAGTAGGAGTGACAGTCAGCGCCACCTATAAGCCAAACGACGAGTGTGAAAACAATTTTATGCGCATGTTTGGCGTCACGTAGCACGTGAACTTATCATGAGCGGGCAGCTGATTAATAGTCCCTCGTGTACAACCTAATGACACCAAGTCTGCCAGTACGAGACCCTCGTTTAATGAAATAAGGGAAAGAATATATATATATATATATATATATATATATATATATATATATATATATATATATATATATATATATATTATATATATATATATATATATCTATAGATATATATATATATATATATATATATATATATATATATATATATATATATTATATATATATATATATATATATATATATAGATATATATATATATATATATATATATATATATATATATATATATATATATACATACATGCAATGGCTGGAAGATAGTGGATTAAATTTTTATTTCACTCGTCTTCATTAAAATTTATTGCAGCAACACTCATTTTGGTATAACGTATGCGCTACGTAAATATGACCATTTTGCTACCATTTGAAACTTTATAATAAAAACAAATAAACAAAGACACCAGGTGTCTCATTTTGCCCCGACCCGTGGGGCCAAACGAGATGCTATGAAAACAAATTAATCTGTTTAGTTTTTCGTGTAGAAGTACTTGAAATTCACTCCATAGGCCCTCACGCAATTCTCATGAGCCTTGTTTCGCACTCCACGCATTGAATCTAGACAGGCCCCAGCTCTCTGTTACTACGAACTCCTTGCACATCGAACGTCATCACTCTTTCTTTGTGCTGTTGTCTTTTTTGAACGCTTGCCCTTTGTCGGATTATTTAACAATTTAAATGTAGATATTTCCTGACACCCCCTTCTTCACCTATTTTTGCCGTTTTGATGCAGAACTGCACAGGCGTTTCGCGGGTTTCAACTTTGTCGGCCGGGCTTTGTGAGGCGATGAATTTTGAATTTTGAATCGCTTGCTAAATTCTTAAACTTAGGTATTGAAAATTCATTACAACTAAATTCCAAAACAGGTTTCTGAACGGCTTGAGTTGGAAATTTTTCCAATTTTCTATGCGCCACTTGAGAGCATCTTTAGAAACGTAGAACAAGCACAATGCAGTACGAATGGAGCGAGTCCTGTCCTAAAAAAAAATCATTGCTTTTTAATGTACTTTTCCTGCCAGGAAGCTCTATAATATATTCTATTGCACTTATAAACCCTTCTAAACAAATAATTACAAAGTATATCCAGTGTAAGTAAATGGTTCACTTAATAAGATACTCTCGAATGTAACTTGATGCCTTTTTGTCGCATTTTGCCCCTCTGAGGCCATGAATGCCTGAATTCAAAAAAAATTTCGCTTTGGTCTCAGGCACCAAATGAACTGGACTTTTGGTTTTAAGTAGCTAGAAATATAAAGTAGCAAAATAAATACTGATCTCACTATACTGACGCCAGAGTATTTCCATGCATGGATCCGAAAATTTGGTTGAGCATAATTTCACCCTTCTTTGACAGTTCACTATCACACACACACACACTAGACACGTAATTTCTCGCGCGTGAACGCTGTGAGAAATCATAAACATTTACACATGAAAATGTAGACAAGTACCAGCACTTATTGCTGGAAAGGGCAATTGATTATCCCTGATAAACTTGCCCTGATTTTATCCCCTTTGCAAAATGTTCCAGCTGAACGAAGTTACTTCGCCTCCCTTCACCATCGAGCTTTCTATGTAACCTGACCCTTAATGAGCCTTGAGAAATAGTCTGTGGTGGTGCTATAGAAGCTGATAACATTTTTCGTCTAAATATTCATATATCGGGGAGAGGGGGGGGGGTGTCTGTTCAGAAGCGTTCTGAAAATCGACAGTCACATGAATCTTAGAATGCATTGACGGTGTTTACAGTGATCATGTAGGAGTTACGCAATATTCCAGAGTTCAAGAATTATCATTTTATCGAATTGTCTTCTTTCTAATATCCTCAAAAAGTAAAACACTCGGAACTGCCGCAAAATATTAACGAGTCTGATTAATATTTACCCATCGAGGACACTGCAGGGAGAAAAGGTATGTTCATTTTAAAATCCCGAGTCTTCTGCCTACAAATACAGGTAAAAAAAGGAGAGTGGGTGGCCCACTCTTTATAAGCCTAATTTTGCTTGTTTCTTTCTCTTTTAAGTCTGATTTCTCTTTTAAGTCTGATGAAAAACATCCCCATGCTTCATATGAATGGTAAGCAGAAGGCACAAAAGACGGCAGCCTAACCCGTAGCAGGATCAGGTGCATGCCACTTGGAATTCGGACAATGTTTTTTTTTTTCAGCTTTCCAATATATTTCTTTTTTTTTTGTACGTCACGTTTTCCACTTTCACGCAATCTTTACAAAATCCACCCGCACGTGGGTGCCGGAAAGACCATATTTTAGTGCAGTTTAGTTTACAATCAGGGTAGTTATACTGGCTGGGCATTGGCCTCTATTAGAAACTGCTAGGTTTTTAGGATTTTGAAATCCTGCACATTCACTAAATATCTTTCATGGTGCCACTCCCACGCACATACACCCCGCCGCGGTGGTCTAGTGGCTAAGGTACTCGGCTGCTGACCCGCAGGGCGCGGGTTCGAATCCCGGCTGCGGCTGCTGCATTTCCGATGGAGGC